CAGGAGTCATTCAGAGGGAATGGCAATTTCATCTCCTTGTCAACCGCCACCAAGCCTAAGATGCCCGGCACTACCATCGCTGGTTTCCCCCATCGGCAATTATGCCTGATCAACCCGCATCATCGTGATCAAGGGGCTGATACAAGCCTTGCTCTGGCCGCACCACTGCTGTGGTGCCAACCYACCCCGTGGGCCCGTGGCCCCGTGGGCTGGGGAGAGTTCCAGAGGATGAGATAGATGAGGAAAAATATACACAAAGAAGATTGAAAGAAGCATATAGATTAGTTATAAAAAAAAAAAGCCAAAAAAAAGGGGTGTCGTCGCTCCCCTCCAAAAATAGGCCAGTTTTTGTCAGTAAATTCTTTTGCTGGAGGCAATCAATGCTGCCAGGGCTCCCTGGGCCATAACGTGGGGGGCCCGGGGGCGTTAGAGAGGGTAATAGGGTATTGCTGTTGTGACTTGCCACTGGAAAAGGAACCGGACAGCCGCTCCCCCCAGAACAGGAGGGAGATGCCACTATCGAGGTATGTGGTGTAGTGTGACGGGTGCACGACGTGCGGGCGACATCGTGTGGCATCCTTTCCGTGAACATAAAACTTTTAAAAAATCGTGGTAACCAAGGKCGTCCGAGTGACGGGCGCCCCAGCCGACYAATAAGCACCGCTGCTTCGACTGCAGACAGCATTCTCACACAGTCTGACACGAACTGACATCCTGTCATAATGGCAAAGGCCKAAACTCTTAGCTGTTGGCCTTTCTTTCCTGCGAGGGCGCCCTCCAAAAGGTAAGTGGAAGGTACGTGAAAATCAGAACGAAAAAAAACGTCATGATTTTCACTCACATMGSGGACCCCTCTAGGACCTTCAAAACAAAAAAARAAGCAAGACCGACCAATAGGTCGCCACGGAAATACATATATACCCATCCTCTTAAATACGAAAAAAAACACACCGCTGATTGCCGTCCTGGTGCATTGGAGTCACACACCGTGTCCACTACTCCACTCACGTGCGTAGTGGGATCTCCCTCCAGGAGCAGCACAGCACGGCAGGGCTTGTTGCTGCTACAGAAGGGGAAAAAAAAAAAAAAAAATCCTTCACTGGTGCTATCTTCTGTAGCTCCTGAATTAAAGCCCCCTGGATTAATACAGGTGTGAAGCAGGTCAACCCAAAAATTGTTCCCCATAATTTGTTCCCTTCTTCAATTAAAAAAAAAAAAAAAAAGAGGTGTGGGAAGAATCCCTTTTCTTATGTTAATATGCCTATTGAAGAAAGGRCTCCTTTTAGAGATGAGGTGCTTGTGATCTCCCGGGTAGAGAGTGATAATTGTGACGGAATGTCACTCCAGGACCTGCTGATTCCACCATGTAGTCGTCAGCCACATCTCCTCCTACGTTTTCCCCGTTGTTCAGTCTGGACTCTGGGGCGAGGTCCCACTAGCAACAGGATAGGATAGAAACGAGTTTGTGGGGCAGTTGAGTCACCCCAATCCTGCCGTGCACTACTCTCGATCACACCATCAGTATTTTACATGTATTACCCGAAAAAGTAAGGAGATCTTCGTTCCCGTCCTCCTCTCCTTAAACCACCAGTACCTCGCTCAGCTATCGGCCGCGGGCCTTCCCGTAT